AAWWAAMAAARRMMAAWTTKKYCYTTTWWTTTTTCTTCTTGAAGGTGTATGTTTTAAAACGACCATACGTGGATGAGTTTCTTAAACGAATGGGCGAATTGTTTGAATGTGTTCTTTTTACTGCAAGTTTAGCAAAGGTTAGTTATTGTATGTACAGTATTTGTATGTCAAGTTTAATTACTCCTTCACAAAATTGAAGGAAATGTTTCAGTCTTTTTTAGTCAATTTACAAGTACATATTTTCTGTTACCATAAAATCCTGAAAAATTAAAGTTTTTTAAAGCTTTTTCAACATTGTATTTTCTACAAGTCATTTTGGTTTTCATTAAGAAATCTTTCATCTTTCTCTTTTGTAGTATGCAGATCCTGTATCAGATTTGTTAGACAAACATGGCACCTTCAAAGCCAGGTTGTTTAGGGAGTCTTGTGTATACCACAGGGGTAATTATGTCAAGGTAAGTAGATGTCATCGTGATACTAAGCAGTCGTAAGTGATATGATAATATATTGTTATTCTTAGGACTTGAGCAAGTTGGGRAGAGATTTAAAGCAATGTATAATTATCGATAATTCACCAGCATCATACAGCTTTCATCCAGAAAATGCCGTAAGTTAACTTAATAGCAAATTATTGTCTTGATTAATTTTGTAATTGAAGCAAAATAATAAGTAATTGGACTGACATTCAGGAAATTAYATAAATCCTGATGTTCACATGCCCAGCAATGTTGTCCATGTTTAGAAATGAAAATGAAATATACCTCACAGTGTAATAGTTGATCAACAACACTGCGCTGTTTCATAAGAATTCAAAGTTTCTAAGGCTTAACTGGGCTGCCTGAGCTTTTGAATATTGATGAGGTGCAGTTTACCCAAGTCTCTCTATGCCTTTCTTGCTGTCAGCTGTGTCATTTCATCAGAATAATTTTGCTTTTGAGAATTTTGTCATTGCTTGAGTATAAGCATTCTATTCTTCTATTCGGAAAGTCTTTTATTAAAACAATTCATGTATCATGATGTTAAGTTAAGAGAACCTTCTTTTCATAACATGTTTTCATGAATTAATGCTTATAGGTTCCTGTTGTTTCTTGGTTTGACGACCCTCAYGATGTGGAACTCCTTCATCTTATTCCTTTCTTTGAAGCCATGCGTGATACTGAGGATGTTTGTTCTTACTTACGGACAGTAAACATCAGCTCCTTCCGAAATCACAATCACAATGAAGTTAGTTAGTATGTTAGTCCACACAAATGTCTGTAGATGTTGGGGTTTTGYGCCATTGATTGGAGAAAACCAGTTTTATTTTTATATCTAGAAATCAGCTATTTTATTACCAAAGTCACAGAGTAATTTAAATTTTAATATTATACATTTTGTACGGAATCATGAAAACTTGGTAGAGCCAAAACCAAATACTGTGCAATTAAGTATAAGTATACACAAATGCATTATTAATGTTTTGCAAACAAATTGTTTTGGGGCTAAGCAGATGCCAATTGTAGTCTAAAGTAGGTTTGTTCTTTGAAGGAAGTGATAATTTTATCAGCAAAAAGCTATATTTTTTACTAGCATTACACTGGCTGGATTTAGTTTTGTCATTTGAAGCTAAAGAGAAAAAAGGTAAATACTAATAATTCTAARTAATTAGGATAAGCTAAAATGAAGTTAGAATTTTAATATCAACTGCAGCGCTCCTATTGTTTTAACTTGAAATCATTCTTATATTAAGAATGGAAAGAATTATTTCTGTATGGCAATTCTACCTTTATTCTTTCATCTCTGCCATTGAACAGACCAATCCAAATGAACTTTTGTGAAATCTTATCAATACATGTGATTATGAAGAGTATATTTTTACTATATACAACATTTTTTATATCTTTAACTGTTAAATGATTTTCATATCAACGTTTTTTATGCAATCCTAAAATCCTAAAACCCATATATTTGAATATAACGTAAGTGCTTGTAATAAGAGGGATTTGTTGTAATTTATGTTCAAACTGGCTTCAATTTTCTGACTGATAATTAAGTCCATTTGATGTGTTAAACACTTTTTATACAATTTGAAAGATGCAATTTCCTAGAACTCGCACCATTTATATTAGTGGAAAGTGCCCTCGTGTAGTCTACAGGAAAAATAGGAATCAAATTTAATTGTAATTTTGTGAAAAACAATTTGATATCTACCTGAACTTGAAATATCACATCATAAACTGCATCACACATTACTGTAAGTAAGAATATCTACCGATAAAACAATTATAATCATTATTATTATCATGATAATCAAGGATTCTAAAAGTGATAAATATTCATAATTACTTTCGCGGGTAATATCAACACTGTACTTCACAATGGTACGCTCGAGTTAATTAACTTAACTTAACCAAGGATACCTTTAGAAAAATTAAGACCAAAGCTATAATTGACACCATGTTGGATGAATGGTTGAAAGGAACCAATGAGTAATTCAACCAACATAGTGCTCTGCATTCAATATAAATTCATTTTAAAATGCTCTCATAAAATAGCAATATAGTGGAGGAATTGAGGGTGGTTTTCATAAACCAATGAAACCATAATAATCATGTTAACCTCAGAGTACAAAACAACTTAACTAYATAGTAATACCTATTAGTATCCACAAATCTATGGGCTGTCAAGTCCAGCATTCTGTTTGGCTATCAATGGTCTTTTCATGATAGACATAATTGCATCAAATGGATAATCACAATGTTATCGAAAAAATTGTTCTTGATGTTCTTTGTTGAAATTTGACTATACTAAGTTAAGTGGATACTAAAACAAGACCACCCAATCTAATGAACTACGAGTTAATAGTCTAACYTTATGGATTATCAATCCGACCTCGTGGTCTAATTGTTAAGTTTGCTAAGGTGTATTTCACAGGCTTCTGAAAACCACCCTAAACCTGTGAAACACATCCGATTATCCAACATTTTTGGTCTCTGAATCCATATTTTTATTCTGTTTCTTCTGGATTATCACTCCTGGACTTCTACATAATCATCATATGCTCTACGCATASAGAGGGAAATAGTACCTTATGAATGATATTATGGGAATCCAAGGATAATTTGGATAATTTGGTTAAAAATATATAGTGTCAATCAAATAAMAGAAAACAAAGGATTTTTGAGCACTAGTATTATGTATGTTTTAGAGTGAGGCCAGAAAACACATTAAATAGCTATTACACGAATACACTTTAATGTATTCAAATATTATTTTTTTCTTATATTTGACTATTACACTCGAAAAATTTACAGTTTGTTTCACAAAACCAACTCATTTTAGTATACGATCTCTTAGAGCACATTACTGCCTGTATTTGTGAAATACTSTACAACGACAATAAAATAACCATCTAGTTAGTACAAGTTGATAAAAAAACAAAGAGCAGTTCACTTGAAGTCCACAACTAACTGTTATTCTTTCACGGTCTATCACTCTCTGATGCTTATTCACATTACGAAATCCTTTGTTGTCTATTTTTAACATTTAGACCACGAGGTTGAGTGGACTATCACGTAGTCTATGGYGCAATACACAGTTGTAGTCCACAAGACTTAGTTCAGTGGTCTAATTGTTTTGGTATCTATCAAAYCATAGGGCAAATTTGGAATGTAAACAGGAAGAACAAGAACTTTCCTGAACTATATTGAAYTTTTTTKGGTTTTTCATAATGCGACCATGGTCGAACACGAATATACCATAGTTTAACAGACTTTATTGGAATGCTGAATTTGCAATTTATAGTTTGGTGGGCACTATATAGATAATTAGAGTAATTATCTAATATCTTAAAGAGTGTTTCACACATAATTAATCCTGTTTAAGACACCAATTATTGCATGTTCCCAATCAGTCAATGCAAATTAGTCCTATTGTTTTCATTAGCATCCATTTGAGCACATGCGAGATACGACGTCTTAAGGGATGGAAAAGAATGATATTAGTTTTATACCAGTCATTTACAATAAGGTTGTGAATTGAGTGTACTTTTGAAAACATATGAGATTCATAGAATATTTCAAATGAGATGCAGAGTCTTTGAAGCATGTATTGTGTATTTTATAGATATTCCTAGAAACAAATAATCAGCAGAAATGTGTATACAAAATGAATGTTGTGTATCAGTTGAAAATTTCCTATTTGCCTGACAGTATTTTGYCATAAATTAAGATGGAATCTCCACATCTCATTGGATATTTTATGAATCKCRTTRTATATGATTATAAGTGCATATCTCCATCCAAAACCTTTTTTTTGCAATTAATTGTGTATCTAACAATCTCTTGAAAATTTACTCAAAAAGGCAATCTATATTTTTGTATTTTTTTTTTACTTTTATAGTCCAAAGATTCTGTGAAAATTGTTTTATATATGAACACTTGTAAATATATTATACATATATTTTCCATGATACACTGTAAATGCATGTTTTTTTTTAATATTTTTTATTGTTTTATGAATAAATCCACTAATTTTTTAGTTTTATCGGTCTTTTTTAAAAWTATTTCGAAAAGATGTGATTACATTTTGTATACCGTACTAGCATGACATAATTGTCAAAAGTCACAAGATGCACTCATTGGACCATTCCGGCAAAATGGYGGATCCAGACAGTTATAGAGTTATAAAGGGCGCGGCTTATTCAAAACCAATATTGGATAGCTTTCGGGCTGCGGAAAATGAAGCATTTCTTTCAGATGAATTCCGTTTTGGATGAATGTCATTAAGGTTTAATTTCTTTACTTTCTTTAAATCAAACAAATAAACAAACAAGCAAAATAACAACAGTAAGCAAAAATCAAGCAAGCAGACTTGCAATAATAAGGAACGTTTTTACATRTTTTCGCCTCATTCCGGATTGCAAGCGCTGGATTCGAAAACATTTGATTCCGGATTCCATGGCTCGAGATTCCGGATTCCAAATAATGTTTTTTCGTTGCTGGATTCTGGATTCCAAAAATTTGRATTCCGGATTCCTGAATAGGGATTCCGGATTCCAAAGCTGTATTTTTACAGGATTCTGGATACTTGATATTTTTTAGAATAGCGATACTTTGCCGGACTCAAGCTTCGATTGAAGGCCCACTCTGCACCATTATGCTTTGGGGGCCGCGAGGTGGCCATTTTCAGTTTACCGAAACTCTATAAATTGTACTGTGTGTTTCAATGGCACGCATGCTCGAGTAAACTTGAAAACATTAGGCTAATGTTTTCAAGTTTATGACTCCAAGTTGACGCGACATAAATCAGCTCGTAAACGTAAACAGATATAGAATATTCCAAAGTGTGTCAAAAGCACCACAAAATGATTTACCTCAAAGGTAATACTTTCAAAGTCCGTTAGAGGCGAGACTGTTACTGCGCATGTCATCCATTGACAGTGTCCCTAATAAGTGCACTTAATGGCACGCGCGCTAATATCCGTCTCGACTTCCGTTTTGGTTTGTTAACTTCATTAAAACAAAAGTCAG